CTACAGCCTCCCCAAATCGTATTCTCCAAATTCTGTCTGTTGGCCAATTTGACGGATTGAAAATAGCGTTTCAGTGTAGTTTAAATTTTTCTTAGAATAAGGGAGGTTGAATGTCCTTTATCGTTTTTAAGGGCAATTTGTGCTTCTTTTCTGTAATTTATCCGTTCATGTGCTTTGCCCATTTAACCACTTTATCAATCTGATTTTAGAATATGTGCTGCTAAAACAAGCTTTGAAAGCTTTAAAAAAAAAAAAGATTCCTGGTGTCCTCCACACACATACTGAATCAGAAGGGCCCATATTTAGGCTCAGTAACCCTCTAGATTTAGAAACCATTGACCTAGATCATCAAAACAAATTTGTCACTCTAAATATTTACAATAGTGTAAGGCTACATTACCTACAAAGTTAAATGGCTGCAACATATTGTGTATTAAAATTTTTTAACATTGTAAACCTTAATATTTACCATAGAATTTAATATAACGTGAGGGAATGATATGGATGGCTCATGTTTCAAAAAGAAAAACTTGAACTTCTGAGTTTTCTCAAACTCAAAGTAGGCAGCAGTTTAATATCAGGGCTAATGGTAGAGAAAGGAATCAGAATATACCAAATCGAGAAATGTTAATAAGCAACGGGAATTAATACAACGTTGTAAACACTTTAATAAAAAAAAATAATAAGCAACGGAGTATGAGGTGGCCTTGTATAGACCCGGAACTGACCACTCTTTCTGAGCTTGCTTCTTACTCCTAAACTTTAACAAGATTGTTCGTTTTAGGAAGCCACAAGAATTTATATTACTTATTTGGTTTCAGATTAAATTTTGGACTACACTGAAACTGGAAACTGCCTATCTGGAGAAGAAATGGTCCCAGATCACTCATAGGCCGGTGAACAAAATAAATACAATACCACAAACCTTCGTCTGCAAAACGAAGCAATGGGAAACACCTGGGTCAGTTCCCAGGCGGGAAGAGAGGAGGGGCGGTGTCAGGCACAAGTGGGTGGGGCTAGCTCCGCAGTGGAGGAGGGTCTCTCCCGAGCGCCCGCTCCTCCTCCGTGACGTCACAGGTAGAGTCCGCCCCCAGCCGCCCAGGACTCCTGTTATAGCCGCGGCTCGCTAGGGCCCCGGAAGCTGCCCCTCTCGGGGGTCATGATGGGCAGCAAGATGGCGTCTGCCAGCAGGGTCGTTCAGGTAAGGAGCCTCGGTTGCCTTTCCGCGCCGTAGGCAGTAGGGACGGTGCTGACTGTAGCACCGGCGCTGGGGAGGAAAGGCGGTGGTAGAGACTGCGCGGTGACCACGGCCCTGCATAGGGCCAGCAGCGGCTTCCCGGGGTGTATGTGAGAATTGGACCTTGAGCTCGTTGGGTCGGGCAGTGAGCCGGGGACCGCAGCTGAGGGTTCGAGCCAGGTCGCGGGAGTGCATCTAAGCAGGTAGGCACATAGCTGTTCCGAAGTCCCTAGACTGCCCTCCACCGGGACCTCGTTAGCCTGTTAGGAGTCTGCAGGCTTCGCTGTCCTGGCAATATCCTGGCCAATCAGCGACCAGTATTGTCTGTGTTGTCGCGGATCAGCCAATCGGGAGGAAGGCGGTAGCGGTGAGTGAAAGGAAGCGAACCCTGCATCTGACCTGGTGTCCCTTCAAGGTCTTGGGAATGGCCAGAGAACTGGCCCCGCGGGCTGCGTCCTCGCCGGAGGCGGGTTCTCCCCCACCAACCAGCGTCTGGTTACAGGTTGGATGGGGGAGAATGGAAAAAATACATATTTAAGTTTATCTGTAATATATGTCTTAGTGTTGGTTTCCTAAGCTTTTTTCCCCTGAATTTAGATTGGCGCTAGAGAAACTTTATTGTTAATCCACACATCAATTACTAACTCCTGACAGCTTTTGTTTTTGCTTCTCCAGCTGTGATCTCTAGCTTAAATAGGAGAGGTAAAATTGGTATATAATGGGCTACAATCTCCACTTTTGTGGTTGCTTTACACGAGTTTTTTTCAACTCTTAAAGTGTATTATTGTACAATTACCTTTTAACTTTGACAAGAGAAGTGCATTTCCCTTTGCACATCTCTTAAAAGACCTTAAAGTTATTTCGCTCTGAAAGAGAATCCTAGATCCCTGTCTTTGCTCCCATTGCAACGAATGATCCTCACTTATTCATTCAACGAGTAGTTATTGAGCGTTAAAGATGCTGTGAGGACAGGAGAACATCTGACAAAGGACTGGTATCCATAATAGATAATTATATATATCTATAATATATAGCCCAGTTTTTAAAATGGGTAAGAAAAACTTAATATTGCACAAAGCAAGATATTCAAATGAGCACAAAGCCAGTGAAAAGATACTCAACATCATTACTTGCCAGGAAAATGCAAATTAAAACCAGGAAGTACTACCACACCCACCAAAATTATTAAAAAGACTGACAATACCAAGTGGTGATGAGAACATGAAGCACCTGAAACTCTCATACAATGCTGGTGGGAATATAAAATGGTACAGTCACTTTGGAAAACTTTTGTGGGCCTCTAATACTAATTAAACATACCTACCCTATGTCCAAGCATTTTTTCTCATAGGTTTGTATCCCAGAGAAATGAGTGCATATACCTATTTAAAAAACTATATAAAAATGTTCATAGTTGCTTTATTAATAATAAACCCTAAAGCAGAAATTATCCAAATGTCCATTAGCAAGGTGTGGTAGATTTGTTAAAATGGAACAGTACACAGCAATAATAAAGAACTTACTATTGATATATGCAACAACAATAAAAAGGATGCTGTGAGATATACAGTAAGAAATGGTCTGTCTCCTTTTAACAAAGCTGCAAAGACTTGTGTTCAGGTTCATAATACAAAGCAGTATGTGCTGACATTATGTAATAATTACATGTCAACATTAGCAAAATGTATTGAGTACTTCTGTGCCAGGCCTATACTCGGTGCTGAGACTGCAGTGCCAACAAGACAATACATGGTGCCTCCACAGAGCTTAGAACTTGGCTGTTGATTGGTGTCTTGAAGAAAGAGTAGTATTTCAACAGGCTGGCACAAACTGATAGGAATTCACAAAGCATAGTGTCACCATTAAGTAGAGGGATTTGGCTGGACCACAGGGTATTCAAAAGTAATTTTAGAAGAGTAATTTATAAGTGTTCATTAAATGCCTGCTAAATGCCAAGCAGGGGCTTCCCTGATGGTGCAGTGGCTAAGGATCCGCCTGCCAGTGCAGGGGACACAGGTTCAAGCCCTGGTCCAGGGAGATCCCACATGCTGCGGAGCAACTAAGCCTGTGCACCACAACTACTGAGCCTGCTCTGTACAGCCCCTGAGCCACAACTACTGAGCCCGCATGCCACAACTACTGAAGCCCGTGCGCCTAGAGCCCATGCTCCGCAACTAGAGAAGCCACCGCAATGAGGAGCCCACGCACCACACGAAGAGTAGCCCCAACTCAACACAACTAGAGAAAGCCCGTGTTCAACAACGAAGACCCAACACAGCCAAAAATAAATACATAAATAAATAAATTTATTTAAAAATAATAATAAATAAATGCCAAGCAGTATATATTTGATATGTTTGGGATGATGCAATAGTAGAAAGGAGATAGTTAATCATTCAGGAAATCGTTTGGCTGCATGAGACACAGGGGAAGAAGATAAGTGGTTGGATTAATTCAGCATTTGAGCCTTACCGGTGAGGTGAAAATAAACCTCCAGCAAGGCAGTTGAGAGTGCTATGAGGTTTCTGAATGGACTGTAGGTTCTAGGCTAGATGAGAAAGGAAGTAAAGTCAGGATGGAACCAATTGACTGGGAGAAAAGGGAACGATAAAGGAAATGAAGGGCTTGCTGGAACTGATGGTAGGAAATAACAGAGAAGAGAGTTGTAAGTTAAAAGGTTGTAGTTGAGTTTAGATTTAGATTAAGATTTTAGGGATGGTACAGTTCTGAACTCAGTAAAGAATTAAGAGTAAAAGAAAAGAACCTTTCAGGAATAGATGCTAAACTGGAAAGAATATAAAGGTCAATAGGCAGCTTGGAAGTTTTGCTAAAGGAAATAGTGGAGGAAAGGAGAAAAATGATTTTTTGAAAAAGTCACAGATAATGAATGAGGCCTAGGCAGGTCCCAACCTGTCCACGGTTTGGGGTTGCTATCTGCCTCATAAAGCAAAGTAGAGGGTTTGTCTTCTGGGAAGACAAGAGTTGTCTTTTCCTCTAAAAAAGCCTCTTACATAGTTGACTTTGGCATCTTCCAGGAACAGGAGGGCAGGGATTGAGGCCTCATGAGGCTCGGTTTTCAGTTGAGGTAGAGAGAGGAGATGGTGGTTATAACCAGAAAATCCAGAGTGGAGTGTTACCTCCAGAACTCGTCACTGTTAACTCTGCCTGGGCTTCATGAATCATAGAAGTGGATTCCTTAATAGAATAATAGTTTCCAAAAGAAATCACTGATAATGAAACGAGATGAAAGGAATTCAGAGAAAATCATAGAGAAGATAAAGACAAGACGATGCAACTTTTGTATAATAAGTAGTCTATGAAAAAGTGAAAGTAGATAGAGTTGACCAAGTCTCAAAACCTATAATTTAATAAAACTTTCCTGATACAAAAGAAAACTTAAAGTTATACCTTGTAGATTTGATCCAGTATGTTTGATTAATGAGTATATTCTAGTAAAATAATTAAATTTTAAAGAAAAAGTTATTTGGTGATCCAAGCGACAAGACCAAGCACTTAAAAGAGAATGGAAGTTATCAGAGTTTTCAACAATAATACTTCGTTAAGGAAAACACGTGGATAACGTATTTAAGGTAGTTAAAGAAAATGTGGGGCTTCCCTGGTGGCGCAGTGGATGAGAGTCCGCCTGCCGATGCAGGGCACACGGGTTTGTGCCCCGGTCCGGGAAGATCCTACATGCCACGGAGTGGCTGGACCCATGAGCCATGGCCACTGAGCCTGCGCATCCGGAGCCTGTGCTCCGCAACGGGAGAGGCCACAACAGTGAGGCCCACGTTCTGCAAAAGAAAAAGAAAAAGAAAAAAAAGAAAATGTGAACCAAAACTTTATCTAGCTACATTGACCTTCAAGTGTAAAGGCCACAAACTCTTCTAAACCTTTAATAACTCAGGGAATATTGTTCCCTGAAGCTCTTCTTACAGCTCTCACAGAGAATGAGCTTCAGACAACTAAGAAATACTTATTTGTACTTGTGGCTGTTTTAATATAGGAACTGGATGTAAGCACTGAATGTATTTAACTATAGAACTAAGACTAAATAATGCAGATAAGGGAGAAAGACTTGTTGGTAATATTTTTTTTTTGACAGTATAGATCTAATAAAACTTTTAAAATGGAGGGAATAAGGGGAAGAGTATACAGAAGGTGGACTAAACTTGCTAATTGCCTCTGGTTATTAAATGGTAGTAAAAGATGGGGAGGGAAGGCAGAGAAGAGATTACCATCAACTACTTTCATTCTTTCTCATAATAGTGAACCAATAGATAGTATCTCAGAAACGGGCAACTAAGAGTATTATCTAAAGGTAGCAACATAACATAAACATTATACAAAAGTACAAATCTTTCCAAATACCAAAAAACAAAACAACAAACCCCACAAATGAAAGCAAAGAAAAAGATCATATGACAAAGGACTTTATATTTAAATAATCATATAATGATATGACAGAAAATACACCAAACTTGTGAGTTATATCTATAAATTTAAATGGTCTAACTGCCCTTTTAAAAGTATTCTCAGAATGGGCAACAAATGAATATTCAATGCTATGCTATATATGAAGCACAGCTAAAACTAAGAGACTTAGAAAGGTAGAAATAACAGGATAGTCAACTGATCTTTGACAAAGAAGCAAAGGCAATACAATAGAGAAAAGATAGTCTTTTCAATAAATGTTGCTGAAACAACTAGACATCCACTTGCAAAACATGACCTTATACCCTTCACAAAAATTAACTCAGAATGGATCATAGGCCTATATGTAAAGTGGAAAACTATAAAAATTCTAGAAGATAACAGAGAAGAAAACTTAGATCTTGGGTTTGTCAGTGACTTTTTAAATACAACACCAAATGCACAATCCATGAAAGAAATAATTGATAAACTGGATGTCATTAAAATTAAAAACTTCTGGTCTGCAAAAGACACTGTGAAGAGAACGAGAAGACAAGCCACAGATTGGGAGAAAATATGTGCAAAAAGAATATCTAATAAAGGATGTTATTCAAGATATATAAAGAACTCTTAAAAGTTCCCTGGTGGCACAGTGGTTAAGAATCTGCCTGCCAATGCAGGGGACACAGGTTCAAGCCCTGGTCTGGGAAGATCCCACATGCCATGGAGGAGCTAAGCCCGTGCACCACAGCTACTGAGCCTGTGCTCTAGAGCCCACGATCCACAACTACTGAAGCTCATACGCTCTAGAGCACATGCTCCTCAACAAGAGAAGGCACCGCAATGAGGAGCCCACGCTCACCTGCAACTAGAGGAAGCTCGCGCACAGCAACGAAGCCCCAGTGCAGCCAAAAATAATACATAAATTTATATTTAAAAAAATGGGGCTTCCCTGGTGGCACAGTGGTTGAGAGTCTGCCTGCCGATGCAGGGGACACGGGTTCGTGCCCCGGTCCGGGAAGATCCCACATGCTGCGGAGCGGCTGGGCCCGTGAGCCGTGGCCGCTGAGCCTGTGCGTCCGGAGCCTGTGCTCCGCAATGGGAGAGGCCACAGCAGTGAAAGGCCCGTGTACTGGAAAAAAAAAAAAGAAAAAGAAAGTCAACAATGAAAACAGCCTGACTAAAAAATGGGCAAAAGAGCTGAACAAACACCTCATCAAAGAAGATATACAGATGACAATGATATGAAAAGATGTTCAACATCATAGTCATTAGGGAATTGATTGCAAATTAAAACAACAGTAAGACACCTCTATATACCTATTAGAATGGCTGAAACCCAGAATACTGACACCACCAAATGCTGACAAGGAGGTGGAGCAATGGGAACTCTCATTCACTGCTGTTGAGAATGCAAAGTGCCACAGCCACTTCGGAAGGCAGTTTGGCAGTTTCTTACACAACTAAACATACTTTTACCATATGGTTGAACAATCACACTTTTACCCAAATGAATTGAAAACTTAACGTCCGAACAAAAACCTGCACGTGGATGTTTATAGCAGCTTCATTTATAATTGCCAAAACTTGGAAACAACCAAGATGTCTTTCAGTAGGTGAATGGATAAATAAACTGTGGTACATCCAGACAATGTAATATTATTCAACCTAAATTATATTATTTTAATATTATATTATTATATAATTATATACTTGTATATTATACAAATATAATTTATAATGTTATTTCAAAAAGAAATAAGCTACCAAGCCAGGAAAAAACATGGAAGAAACATACATGCATGTTATTAAATGAAAGAAGCCAATCTGAAAAGGCTACATGCTGTATATGATTCCATCTGCATGACATTCTGGAAAAGGCAAACCTATGGAGACAGTAAACAGATCAGTGGTTGCCAGAGATTGGGGAATGAAGGGATGAGTAGGCAGAACACAGAAGATGCTATAATAGTGAATATGTCATTGTACATTTGTCAAAACCCATAGAATGTACAACAACAAGAATGAACTCTAATGTAAAACTTTGGGTGATAATGACGTGTTAATATAGTTTCATCATTTGTAACAAATAGAATACTCTGGTGGGAGATGTCCATAGTGAGGAAGGCTGGGGGGGGGTGAGTGGGGGTGTGCTCAGTGGTATATGAGAACTGGAAGAAGGTTGGAAATGACTCAAATTAACAACCCAAATTAACAGGGCGCTGGTTGAATAAACTCATGGCATTTATCCTGACTTCCTACTGATTCCCTCAGATTCCAGTCTTCACACTACAGTATTCTTCCTTGCCTTCCCTCATCCCATATTTGTATGTTCTTTCTCTCACAGGGAAATCCCTGCCTTTTGCAAACATCAATATATGTATATACTCATTTGCTTAGTCCTACAATATATACAAAATGTATAGCTATATCTGTACAACTAACCTACTAAGTAAAAAGTTCAAGATTTCTTTGTATTTCTTTTTGTCTTTAGACTGAAGGTATATAGTCCAAGCACTATGAAAGTTATTTGGATTAGCTCCTTTTTTTCCCTTAGTTATAAGCTGGTCAACTAGTTGACAGACTTATTTTTTTCTCTGTATTTACATTTAGAGTTTAAAAAAGACAATTTTGAGACAGGAAAATTTGAGCATAGCTAAATAATAGATGATATTAAAGAATTATTTTTGTGTGGGAAAAGTATTGGGATTATGGTTTAACCAAATCCTTTTCTGTTAGTGATACATGTAGATGGTATTAACATCTGATGGTATTAACAGATGAGATGAGATGACTGGGATTTGTTTAATGGGGGAAGGGTTGATGAAATAAGATTGATTACTGTTGAAACTGTGTGATGTGTTTATCAGGGTTTATTATACTACTCTGTCTACTTTTATGTATTTTTAAAATTTTCTCTTAAAAAGGGGGGATACCAGGCTGTGGGAATTTAATCTATATGGGCATGTTACTTTTTTTGTTTGTTTGTTTCCTGGAACGCAGGCCTCTCACTGTTGTGGCCTCTCCTGTTGCGGAGCACAGGCTCCGGACGCGCAGGCTCAGCGGCCATGGCTCACGGGCCCAGCCGCTCCACAGCATGTGGGATCCTCCCAGACTGGGCACGAACCCAGTCCCCTGCGTCGGCAGGCAGACTCCCAACCACTGCGCCACCAGGGAAGCCCAACCATATTTTTAAGTGTACAAAAGCAATGTTGAAATGGATTCTTTCTCTCTGGTGTATGTACATTTGTTTAAGTGTGTGTATACATACTTACATACCTATACAGTTAGCCCTTATCTACAAATGGTCTGTTCACTCATTTGTCAGATGTTTGCTGAGCATTTACTACGTACTGGCTACTGCTGCAGAAGTACTTAATTTTCCATCTCTGCCTTTCCAGGAGCTTTGCTCGCCTGTAATTATTGGCTCATTTACTGTCCTCTACACAATAGTCTTAAGATGTTCAGGTTGCTGTGGAAACACAGGAGTTTTTAAATCAGGTTTAGGAATTGGGAATCTTCTTAGAGAGGAGTGACAGTTGAGCTGTGTTCAAAGATAAGCAGTGAGATGAAAGTGGAGGCATGGAAGCGGGGTGGGACCTGGGAGAGATTCGTGGCAGAGCACACAAGCTATAGATTGAATGGGGATGGAAATGGTATGAGGAGTTAGGGAAATGAAAAGTACTTCAGAATACCTGGAGTGAAAGGTACAGTGGTGGGGAATGAGGCTAGAGAGGTAGGGAGAGGCCTGATCATGATGGGCCTGTGTGTGCCAAATGCGAGTTTGAAGTTTATCCTGAAAAGCTTAGGACTATAGGAAGGAAA